ATTCATGTCGCTGCGAGAAGCTGGCTCAGTGAGCGGGGCTTGAGAGCGCGCTGTCAGTGAGGGCGCGGGCGCAGCCGCCGTGTTGCCAGATCCACCTAATGGAAAGGTGGCTCCTGGACCTGTTTTTCTGAGTTAATGTGACACTTTAGGAAGTTATTAAAGTGGAAAGTTGCATGTTAGGTTTAGTGATATATTAATCTTATTTCCAAAACACAAGCTTTGAACTTATTTCGGATTATTATTATTATTTTGTTTTGTTTTGCTTGTTTTTCGTAGCAATATCTGGCAACATTTTACTGTCGGCATTAATAAAAAAAATTTAAAAAGCTTATAGACAAACTGTAATTGCATAAAGCTACCACATTCGGTAAGACAAACGCAATGATCATCGTGATTATCTGTAAGAAATGTATAACACTATCAAAAACTATAGCATAATACAGATCTGTATGTTAGCCTACAGAATGAAATTTGCCAAATAACTTACTGGCCAGCTGGAAGACGGCTCATGCTGTTTAGTTAACCTTTCACACAGTCATCATAAAAACATTAATTAAAGCAGTGTTTCTCAACTAGCAATCTATTCAGTCAGCATATTTGTGTTTGATCTGTGTGAATTACAGAAGTATAAGACTTGCTAGACCTACTTTTTACTATATTTCTTTGCACAAAACTCTCCAGAAAGTGCCATTTTGGGGTTTTTTTAAATCCCGGGGGGGCATGCCCCCGGACCCCCCTAGTGAGAGACTACCCCACACATAATTAAATCCAAATTTAACCCCTGTATATATATATATATATGCCAAATTCCATTAAAAAAAGGGTCACAGCTTAATGTCCATGGGGAAATGTGGGTCCAATGGCCTAACCATTATTATAGCAAAATTCTTTACACAACACTAATTTTCAAACCCTGGTTACGGCCTTGACTGAAAGGACTGTATATTGCCAGACACGACAGACTCGTGGACCTCATCGCTGCTCAGATTCCCTGCGTGGCTGAGGAGCAGATCTTTAAACACACTACTGTACAGTCCGAATGGTTTAACTCTCCTGCAAACACTTTTTTTGGAATTGCTAATACGCCCAATATGAGTGTGTGAGTGTGAGTGTGTGAGTGAATGTGTGAGTGTGTGTGTGTGTGTGTGTGTGTGTAACTCACCATCCACGTTCTGAACGCATCTCTCTTTAGCTTTCTCCCGCATCATCTTGGGAATCAACACGTCGGTCTCCACGTGCCTCAAGGGCGGCTCCTCTGTGGACAAACATAATCAGTCAATAATCCATAATCATCTTCATATGAACCACAACATTCATTCAGTCAATAATCCATAACCATCTTCATATGAATGAAAACATCCAGCAGTACATAATCCTAGAAGAGTCATTTGATTCATTTATGTAAATGATTCACCCCAAACAGTCTATATCTGCAGATGATCAAAAACATATCAAATGCTTTTTATATAACAAAAACATGACATTTCTCGCATCTATATAAGCGCATATGATGGTTTGAGGACAGTGTTGAAGTGCTGACATTCATACACACATTCATAACAAACATTCCCGCTGAAATTAAAACACTCCTGTACCTGCTTTAGACGGATCCATCTACACTTCAGTTACTGTCACTAGTTACTAGATGTTTTACTGTTATGAAACATTCATCTGTGTCCAATGTCACCCTCTGCGCAGCGTGTTTACAGTGAGACCGTGTGTTTCAGTCACTTCCGGTGACGACAACGGCAAAATCCGCTAGAGCTTCTGGTTATTGTAGTTCTGCGGGGCTCAGAATGAACTACAAACCGCCACAACTGAACGCTGGGTGATCGTTTGTAGTTCAAGAGTTCTACGATGACAATTTTGGCTGGTGAAATGAGGGGAAAGTATTTATAATAATAAATAATAATAAAGTTACACTTTGTATTAATTACCATAATTCCGTGATGACAACACGTGACGTTCCCTCTAAATGATTTTTTTTGCATAATTAGGCCTACTGCATAAAGAATACCTTAAACCTAAAACTACTTTTACAAATCCGATAAAGGAACAAGACAATTACTGTATTACATTAGTATTTATGCAAACACGTTTTAAAGATGTGTATAGCCTTGCTACTGACCGAGACAACAATGGTGTGTGTGTGTGTCTCTGTGTGTGTCTCTCTGTGTGTGTGTGTGTGTGTGTGTGTGTGTGTGCGTGCGTGAGTGTGTGTGAGCCGGTGTATGTAGAAACACAAAACGGAATTTGAATAAATCCATATATGTTATTGTGGAACACTAGGCCTACAGATATTTAGATATAATTAATAATTAGTAAGTAATGAATTATAATGAAACGTTTACTTCATCATGGGCACTTTAATAATTTAAACACAAATTGAAACGCATGACAGAAGCGGTAGAGTTGTGTGAATATGTGCAGTTTTATATCTCAACCTGGATCTCACCTCGAGTTTACAGCAGTTTTAAGGTCAACGATGAAAGAAAATGTTATGAAAACGTGAGATCCGCGAGCGTGTAACACCTGTCGCAGCATGTGTGTGTGTGTGTGTGTGTGTGTGTGTGTGACACCTGTAGCAGCGCGTTACCTGCCGTGCGCGTGTCAGTCTCACACCACAGCTTTAATGTCTAATCCAGTTGTGCAACAGCAGACACACACACAGACACACACACCGCAGGTCTGACACTGAACGCCCGAACGCCTGTTTCTGCTGTTGCTGAAGTGAACGCGTCTCTGCATTTCCCACAGTGTAAAGCTCATCCGCGGTTACAGACATCTGAGTGTCTCACGGGCAAACGCCATCAGACAGACCAAACCACACACACTCCTCAACAAGACAAATCTCATCAAACAAAGGGTCTAAACACGCGTGCATGTGAGGAGCGACACACACACACACACACACACACACACATACAGGTGAAGAAAGAGAGAGAGATTTTACCAGCTGTTCGGACAATCCCAGCGTCTATGTTCACATCAAGTTATGAAAACATTATATCTGAATGTTCAAAGTGTTCTGGTTTACATTAAGGGAAAAGTGAACGTTAAGGGGACATTCCATAATTCTTCAAACGTTATGGGAACGTTTTGAGTGTTTCGAAATATGAAAACTATTGAACTCATCATTCGTAGAAGTTTTTTTCTGAAATGTTTTAGTTGGATGTTCGTCTAACTTTTTATAAATGTTACTTGTTTCAGAACGTCCACAGAGAACCAAGAAAAACATTTAAAACTGGACATTTGGAACGTTCCGAGAACATCCAGACCATGAAGACAAGTACACAATAGTGCCATTATTCAGCTGAGATTCGATTTAGTTTAAAAGTAGTGTAATTCTTATTTTATCATTCAAACATTATGGGAACGTTACTTTTGAATGTTCTCAAAACATTATTTATACATCGTTCAAGGAAGTTTGGAAGTTCATCTAACGTTTTTTAAATGTTACTTGTTTCAGAACGTTCAAATGTAACATTTTAAGAATGATGAATGTTTCATTGTTCCCCAAATTTACAAAGTTTATCAAGTATTTAATGACTTCAGTTCCAGAGCTAAAGCAGTTCTACACACTGCTAGAAAAAAAGGTTCATTAGGTTTCTATAGAATAGAGTTCTTGACTAAATTTTCACTTAAAACTGTTTATGCCAAAAAGGTTCTGTATAAGGATAAATTATTGCATAATACTTTCATGTTTAACAGGTTATTAAAAACATTTAGTGATAAAGTTTGTTTAAGAGCAGCTTAATTCATAAAATAAAATTAAAATTAAATAAAAACAAACATGATTCCACAATGGAAACCCCTGAAAGGTTCTTCACAATAAAGCTCACAAAAAAGGGTTTTCTCATGATGTCATAGAAGAATGGGTTTGTTTTTTTTTAGTCTGAAGAACTTTTAAATAATCCAAAGAACATTGTTCTACTATGAAGAACAATTTGAGCAATGGCGAGATTCCACGGATGTTAAAGGTTTCTTCATGGAACCATTGATGCCAATAAAGAACCTCTATTTAGTTTTCTTCCCAGACAGCAACACACACTCTAAAAAACACTGGATTAAAAACAACCCAATTTGGGTTCTTTTCAACCCAAGAGCTGGGTAAATATAGGACAGAACACATGTTGGGTTAATTTTACCCAGCAAATTGGGTTGTTTATTTAACCCAGCAAACTGGCTTGATTTATTTTTACTAAAGTATTAGCTTTATTTTTTTTAATTTTTTTTACTTCATACATGAATTAATGTTAACTTAAATCCTCTAAACTTTTTTTAAATACTCCACACAACTGGTTTGCATGATAATTACTATATTTTTGATCATATTTTACAGTATAACATATTTTATATCATTTTAAAAATCATTCTTAAATTTAAGCTTGTTTAACAAATATTAGCAGTAAAAATTAAACAAGTAATTCATATATCTGACCCAGGATCCGGGTTACACAAAAACTACACTCTAAAAAATGCTGGGTTGTTTCAACCCAAATTTGGGTCAAATATGGACAAATCCAGCCGTTCGGCTACATTTTTAAATGACATTTTTAACCCAACGTTTGGGTTTGTCCATAGATATTTGACCCAAAATTGGGTTAAAACAACCCAGCATTTTTAGAGTGCTGAAAAGATAACCCAAAAAAACTGACCCAAAAGGCTCAACCCAGGATTTGGGTAGAAAAAATAACCCAGGATTTTTTTTAGAGTGTGGAATCCATCCGTCCACATTCTCCCGACACGATGTAGAATACGTGCAGAATGAGCCCACATCAGGAGTGCTTCACATTAGTTATGTTTCCTCATTAATTGCACAGCTTTAGGAGTCTACACTCTAAAAAAAAAAGCTGGGTTGTTTTAACCCAATTTTGGGTCAAATATGGACAAACCCAAACGTTGGGTAAAAAATGTGATTTAAAAATGTAACCCAACAGCTGGGTTTGTCCATAGATATTTGACCCAAAGTTGGTTTGAAACAACCCAGCACTTTTTTAGAGTGTAGAATAGCATGTCTTCTAACATGTTACACGACTGATTGAACATCCTCACCGTGTGTGTTTTCACCGTGTGTGTTTTTGACCGTGTGTGAAGCCTAATTAGCACAGGCTCACCTGGACTCTCGTTTGGACGGATCCGCGACCCCTGCCAGAGGATGTGCACCTTTGTGTTTATTTACTCCATCTGACACCGATGGAGAGTTTAATATCATCCCGTCAGAGGTTTGCCAAGGCCGGGATGCGACCCACCGCTCCAATATTCCCCGGCAGCAGCAGGCCGTCGTGATCCTGGCAGAGGAAGGTTAGCAAAGTTAAAACCTCTTACACCACGGCTCGCTGACCGGCCAACCGCAGCGGGAGGCTCGGTGTCCCACAGACTACTGTAGAAGAGGAGATCCGTCAATATCAGACCACAGTCGTGGAGACACCATCCTAGCAAACATCCCAGCAAGCAGGTTAGCGTTTAAAAGACGTCTAATAGCCGCCCAAACACAGCCCTGACGTCTAAAACAAGGCGACATTTGGGCTGTCAGGGAAACTTTAACAGACGTCTAAACCATCGCCCAAGAATAGAGTCATCAATTAGATAACAAAGAAATGAAACGACTAGTCTATTCTTGGCCGATGGTTTAGACGTCTATTAAACGTCAGGGCTGTGTTTGGACGGCTATTCGACGTCTTTTAAACGCTTGCTGGGATCCTTTCTTTCTTTCTTCTGTGGTTTACATTAAAGGCGTTTCGCTGGTTAGTGGTCCATATTTCTTGAACTGCCGCAAATTGAAGATTTTTTTTAAATGGAAAAACAAACGTATATTTTATAGATAATAAAAAGTGCTTTCAACAAAGACTGGGGAAAATGATTTAAGTCCCCCTGTAGTCAATAATCACATCCCTTAAAAATCATCTTTGATCACCAAAATGACTTATTTAAAGTTTTTTTCCTAGATAAAAAATAGAATGTAAATCGACACCCTTGCCTCATTTAGTATCCGTGGTTCTATGAATATGCAAATGAGCCCCGCCTCCACTCACTCACTCACTCAGCTCAGAGATCCACTGGTTGACGATCACACGTTGATCTGATTGGTTACAAGGTCGTTTGTGACGTCAGAAACACCAGCGATTTCAAACCGTGTGTTTGAGACTGTCTTTGGTTCACTGCAGTTTTAAGGAGGAAATACTCAGCAATGCTGTCGACTTATGAACTTACACAAGGTGTGTCTTAAAGCGTATTAAAAACACCACATACACATAAACAACATTAAAAACTGGATTTACACCACAGGGGGACTTTAAAAAACAGTATAAGGAGGACAATCTCAACTCAGAAAACAGTAATTGATGTGACTGATTAACTGAAAACAGTGACTGATTAACCCCATAGACACACACACACACACACACACATCAATTATTAAACGAATTCAATTCAACTATAAGCACTTTTATTACATTTTATTTAGCTTTTCTTGCACCTCAAAACTTACAAATCTGCTCTAAACTTGAACTTGCCTCGTTCGTTTTTTTTGTTCTTTGCAAAAGATGATTAACAAATCAAGCAACAGTCCTCTACTTCATTCTTGACCCATCAGTTCTATCTAATTATCCAATCTACCAAATTACTGTAAAGTACTGTTGCCTCCCAGCTTGTCTAGCTAAAAATAAATCCTCTTTGATATCTTTCAATCTGGTTTTTGCCCATGAAACGGCCTTTGATACCCTCTGTCATGGTTTATTTATGTCCCGCCTCTCGGATTTCCATTGTTGTTCTTCCTTGGTTTTCCTCCTATCTCTCTGGTAGACACTTTCACATTTCAGTCCAGGATTTTCGATCTACGAACCCAGACAGCAACGGTGTCGGCCCAGATCCGGCTCACATCTGGGCCGTGTGCAATCCACGTGTACCAGATGTGGGCCGACACTGTTCCCAGCATGCAATAGCCGTCATTTCTCCGTCTCGGTTAACTATAGACCCGATATAGTCCGGCTATGAGTAACACACTTCTAGCCAAAATAACCTTGAATGTCGGTTTTGCCAAAATAACTTGCGAGATGAAGGATATTCCGTCAACAGTGATTACAAGGTGTTTGGTTTCATTTCTTCACTCATTTCTTTGATATCTAATTGATGACTAGTCTATTCTTGGGCGATGGTTTAGACGTCTATTAAAGTTTCACTGACAGCCCAAATGTTGCTTTGTTTTAGGCTAGACGTCAGGTTGTGTTTGCACGGCTATTACTGTACACGTCTGTTAAATGCAGAATTGCTGTCCGGGAAGCAAGGTGTTCCCCAGGGATCCGTACTTGGTCCGTTATTATACCTCATCTACACACTACCTCCGGGGTCAGATTTTACATCGATCTTTCAATTCTACGCTGATGACATCTAACTCTATGTTATCTGGAAGCCTGCTCTATCCACTCAAATTGATAACTTTTCTGCTTGTATGAATGAAACGAAAGTTTAATGTATTTATATATTCAAAAATCTGCTGCAAGAAAACTCACATCTAATATATCGTATCAGGTACAAAATAATACTGCTCACTTTTAAATCGTTACTCTAATGACATGAGAGAGAGAGAACATCATGACAGAATTATGGAGTGTTTGGGAAACCTGTTGGAAAACAATCATTTTTGCGATAAAAAAAACGAAATATAACAGAATATAACATACAAGTATTTTAGAGAAGCATGTGTTTGGCTAAGCTTGTTTCTACCAATAAAAAATGTAAAAGGTTCTGAACTTTTATCTTACAATTCTGACTATATTTCTTGCAGTTGCATATAACTCACAACTCTCATTTCTTTCTATGAATTGAGTTATAAACTCGAAATTATGAAAGGTTATTTATATCTCGCAATTCTTACTATTTCTTGCTATTCCAAATGTATACACTGTGTTTTGTTAATTCAAAAACATTTGACAAATCGTTTGGTTAAACAGTAAACTAAGTTTACGTTTAAGTTTAAATTTATTAAAAGCAAAAAATAATAATAATAATGAGATATAAATTATAATTGTGAGAAAAAAGTCTGAATTGTGGGATGAAAAGTCATAATAACCTTCACCTTTCTTATTTTTTATTTCATGGAAACAAGCTTCTATTGTCACGAAGTTGTCTTGTTGAAACAGAAAACAGAAATTTTTCTTAATGACATTTAGAAAAATGTAGCATTGGTGCGTGATGATTCATATAATACGTTATGTGCTTAGTTAGATGTATTCATTTAAGCAGATTTAACGTGTTAGGCAGTGATTGGCTCTTGTGCTTTAATAATCACAATATTGCATGATCAGTTGACAATTCCACATTACTTAATTTTTTTAATTAAGCATGACGTTTATTTACTTAATAATTTTAAGGCAAAGGGTTTCCTAAAAAATTTTAAGTTAAGTCAACTGATCACTATTAACTAGATGTATTGGTTTAAGCAGACACAATGAACGTGTTAGGCAGAGATTGGAACTTGTGCTTTAATGATCACAATAATCTGATATGCAGATAATGCATGATGGATGTAAAGATAATCGTTCGCACGCTGGCCGTCCATGACCAGACTCACGGTGATATGATAACATGCCCATAAAGAGGAGCAGCTTTTGTTGATCTCGGCGTCCCGGCGGTGTCAAGATGCATTTCCTCTGAAGCAAGAGAGGAGCTTCACAGTGCTGCAATCTGGGCTCGCAAAACCCTTTGACACCGCAGTTTTAATTAAAATTACATTATGAGTAATCAAGCAGAAGACTAGGGAGGGGAGGAGGGATGGCTGGAGGTGAACCTCATCTCTACCAACATGCAATGGACCCACGCCATGCCACACTCACCAAAGATGTGCAACACAGACCTGGGTCTATAGGGTCATGTTTCAGCGTTGAGATAAGAGGGAAATGCACATCCGTTGAGGTTTTCATGGATGTTTGCGAATGCAATGCATAGTGAAATAATAATCAAAAACAATAAAACGGGTGAAAAATCCCATGCACATTAAAGGATCTAGAGATCAGAAAACGCCTAGAAATCAAGTCAGGTTTATTTCAATAGTGCTTTATACAGATTCAAAGCAGCTTTACAGTAATGAACGGGGAAATAACAGAATCATATATAGTTGCAAGCAGCAATTATGCACAATAAAGGCATGAGTTATGCAAGAGTTACGGCTTCATGAAACTGCAACAATGAGTGGCATTTTAGATTATTTTAGTCAAAGAAAGCAAGTTCGACCGAAAATATCGCATAATTGGTATCACTGTTCTCAGTATGACTCAAGAAATCTCAATAAAACAAGCAAAATGGATCAAAAGCATATTTTAAAGCTATAAGCTATTATGAATTTTGATCAGAATGTGGGGATGTCCTTCATGGCATTGTGCCGATGATAATGCAGTCATGAAATACAGCATTTTACAACAAAAGTCTAAATGGCTGTTAGCAAATATTGTGGATTATTCGACTCGATGTGCTGCACTGGATCAACAGACACCAATTTTATGATTTTCGCCCAAACCGTACAGAAGTTATTAATAGCTATTAAATAATAGTATCAAAAAAGTAGGATTGTTGAGCCAAGGAATCAGAGGAAACAATCATTTATGGTTGAAAAGCATTTATGTGAGTGCAACTTTGGACAGTTGGTGGCGCTAGAGGGATTGAGTTAGGGACTCCAGAATTGCAGTGGTTGATGTTCGGACTGTCCTCTATCGGTGTGCCAAATCTCACAACTTTTAACAATACGGTTCTATGGGCGGCCATAGACTTAAGAGCAGAAGAAGAAGAAGAAGAAGAAATCTGACGGATGATGCAAACCTCATCAATATCAGACACAATATTCAACAGATAAACAATATATACGGTCAAGCAAATCTCAACTGCTTGCATTGTTTGCATCATTGTTTGCAAAATTATCGTCAAACTCTAATCTGATAAGAAGCTTAAGATTATTTTAAATTGGTGAAGCACTTATTTTATGGTATTTTACTTAAATTTATATTTGTACTGTTGTTAGTTTTTATGATTTTTTTATTAATATTGTAAAGCACATTGGACAATGTAAATTGTATTTAATTGCGCTATATAAATAAATTGCCATTGCCATTTCCAAGTGTGACTATAAGGCATGAACATATTAAGATATTATAAACACAACATCATGATTTTCTGTAAAGCTGCTTAAACAATGTGAACGTGCTCCACAAACACTGACGCTAATATGCAGAGGTTCAGAGCTGGAAATGCCAGAGCTCTTGTGTCTTTGATTTAGTTTTGGAGCCGATCTTCGCAGGTC